GCTAACACGTCCTAACCTACTCCCAATATGATTATGCTTTGGTTTAAAAAACTAATATTACATGGTATATTAGGATGAAATAAATGTACATAACATGAATTAAATAGCTATTATCATTACAGCCAATAACAAGTTTCTTTATCAATCCTCAAATTACGGACGAGACAAAATAAAATCTAATATACGATGCCGCACATAAGCCAATTAGTAGGATCCAGCTATGTCCTTACTACACTCGTCCTTTTCCTATTATAGCATAAAAATAATAACGAGTGAGTCGAAGCTTAGTAAGCGGGATGATGCAAATATAACGTAGATGTTTTGTGATTGCCCACCATACTCATCGGTTTTTAGTCTTGGTATCCTAGGTAACTAGCGGTCATAATCTAATGGTGATTACTGAATCACTCGAATGCTAACAATAGTATTGTTCCTCGTTGTAGCTACTGTTGACGAGAATCCTTCGTCTAATAGTACCGGACACGACTAGAGTCCGCACACAGTTGGACCGCTAATACTCATTAGTTTTGTTAGGTTATCAAACCTCACCATATGACTCATTTATCAACTGAATGACTATTTCTCATACCATTCCCATAATGATGCATATGCCAACATATTTACTCGTAATAGATACATCGGGATTACCGAGCCCTACGCTATTTCTATTTCCAAGTATTCGACCCTCACGAGGTCCGGTTTTTCATAATCCTATTGTCCAACCCGCACGGGGTTTCGGGTACTTTGTACCTCATGTTCTAATATTCATAGAACTATCTTTTCCATAACCCAAATGGTTACCAATTACTCGATCGGTTTTGTTTTGTTTAGACGACGTTATCTTTCGTTGTTTGTTTTATCATTTTAGGTTAAGTTAATTCTTCAATCTAATACCTTAGATATTACTTACGCTACTTTCGACCTAACCTTGTTTTTATCCTCGATTGGGCCTACTTAGGCCATGTTAGGTTAGCTAACCCCTTTTATATCAAATTATGTTATTGGGCATACAATTTTGCCTTTAACGGGCATTGGGCCAATTGTGGCCCGACGATTATGGTTTATGGCTTTTTGGTAATTTAATCCTTCCAATTCAAATTTTATTCTCTATTGGGTCCGGTTGGCCTTTTAGTCCTTAAATAAATCTTATTAGGCTAAAAAATCCTTATTTTCTTAAGTTTAGGCCGTATGGCCCAAAAAATGGTTTAAAGTTTTTCCTTCACAATATCTTTGATTTTTTTGTGATTTCTTCCCATCTTACCTAATTAATTTACACATCCATTATATTATAATTAGATTTTAGTCTTTAAGTTCCATGGAAAGCCTAATCTTGCTTAATTTAGGTTCCTTGGACGAATAGGTTCAAAAGGGAGTCTAAATGCTTGATTGATTCTTTTCTTAATTTATTCATTCCCACACTTAGTCCTAGTCCTTAAATTATTGTTCAAATTCCTCAATACATGATAAGATATACCCATGATTATGGTGTCTTCAAGGATCACACAAATATCTTACAAAAATCCAAACCAAGTCATTCAAACCAACCAACACAAATCAAGCATAACAATTTAAACAATAACAAAAAAAAGTAAATAAATTAAGCACACAAAGAAAAAGAGTTAAAGCATGAATTGACCCACTTACATTGAGTTAAGCTTTTCCTTTTTTCTTTTCCTTCTCTCTCTTTTTTTTTCCTTTCTCGCTTCACAATTTTACCTTTCTTCTCTTTCTTTTGGTGGCTTACGGTATGGCTCTAAAATTGGTTTAAATCCTTGCATCTTTTCACTACTCTCTTATTTATATATTTGCCTCCTTCCTTCTATAATGGGTTATAAATGGCTAAGCTTAATTGGCCAAAGTGTAAAGTGAAAGGATGACTAAGGAGATAGGTGATAGATTTGGAGAGGAAAAATAAGGTGACTTGGTTCAAATGGTTTTAATACATGGCTTAGGTGTCCAAATTGGTCTTAACCATGTCATTAGCCTAACTAAGTCCTTTACTAACTTGGTTTCATATGGCTAACTCATTTCATTGGAATTTCTATTTTGGAATTTTCGAAATTCTTCTCTCGAAATTCCAGCATAATGCATTTCGAAACAACCCTCACCCTAAAGGACATAAATCTTACTGTATAGGTTCAAAAATTATCAAATTTTATAGAGGGCTATTCAACATATAGATGAACAACTTTCATTCTTTAAGGTTGGTTCAGAAATTGCCCTAAAATCCTTAAATAAATCTCACAAGATTCGGGAAGAATCTAGCTCTAAATTTTGAAAATTTTCTTTTAATCAATTCGAAATTTTCCCCAATTAAATCTCAATTTTTCTAAAATTTTAAAATACATTTATTATCATTATCCTACATCCCAAACACTTAGAAACACCCTAAAGGATAATTACCTAAGTTTTCTGAAATTTTTCCTCTTGTTATTTTCGATGTAATCGTCAAATATATCGTTATTGTAAAGTCTCTTTTGAACCCATTCATACTATTACTTTTAAATATGTGTATAAATTTTACGGGGGTTACAAGAGAATAGTTAGTAAGATTTACTTCAAGAATATGGAACCCTACTTAGTAGAATTATTCTACCATTAAAAAGAAATCTTGTCTATGATCCTGTGTGTCACTAAATTTGAAAGTGACTTAGTCAATCAAAAATTCTTATTAAGAATTGATTGTAAGCTTACTAAAGATGTCCTAATTAAGGATCTTAAAACCATTTTATCTAAACGAGATATTGGCTCGATGGTAGGCCATTTTATTTGTCTTTGATTTTGATTATATTAATGCTTGAGAATATTCATTAATTTATGAGAACAAGCCTCCAAAGCACAATTGGTTTATTCGGTTCCGACTTAACACTTGTCCAGAATCCTTTTCTATTTGGTTTGAGGAATGATTTTCTTGTTGGGGTCCCTTTCCCATCCGTATGCCCTTATTTGTTGCCTCTCACTTCAAAAACTTTGCAGCCTACCCATCCTAAAAAGGATTATCTCGCCTAATTTAATCTCTTTTGTATCCCTTTACCAAGTTCTCCGGGTTGAAATGGGATTATATCATAGAAAATGATAATGATAGTAGATGAGAAATCTCAATGGATCTCTTATACCTTCTTAGAAGACCACTTATTACGTGGTGGGTAAAGTATAATTTTGAAAAGGTAAATTTTTCTCGCCTAAATCAACGTAATCTTGAAGCTCTAAAATCCTCTATAAAAACACTCCTCGGGGAGCTTATTTCTTCTACTTCTAAAGAAGAGATTAAAAATTTCTAATAGAAGTTCTTAACAAGCAAGTTATAAAGACTAATAATTCTCTCTTTCAAGATTCACAACACCCCTTCAAAGATTTAGATATGTCGACATGAATTTTGGCCCCTTTGGGTAACTTTACCTTTTAAGGCCCCTCTCGCTTTTGAAAAAGTTGTTTACTATGATGCATAATCAAGTCATTATCACACTTACTACCAATGATAGGCCCTCGGCTTTTGAAAAGTTGTTTGCCTCCTTTTTATCCAAAGAATCTTAGGCCATATGTTGGGCCTCTCTCCCCACTACTTGTCGGTCATCGAAATATTTTACTTTATGCTTTTGTTTGTTTTAGGCCATTTGTAAAAAAGATGTTTTAAGCTCTTTATTTTAGGCCATCCACATGTAAAAAGTTTCTTTTATGTCTTCTTGTAAACTCATCCGTATAAAAGAACATTTAATTTCTTTTGAGGAGCATTGAAAAATTTTTAGCTTCCAAATCTTAGATTTTTCTCTCTTGTAAGAAAAAGGTTTAAGTGTGAGAAGTGTTTTGAAAACTGTCTTCTTGTAGGTTCTACTAATATATACGTGAGTATGGATTTCTATCTATTGGTTTTCTTCCCTTTATTTAATTGCTTTAGGTTTTTGTAAAATTTTAGATTTTTAGCAATCCAGTTACAATTGGTCTCGAGCCTTATTGGTTTTAAGAGAGAGATTGCTTATGTTTATTCAGATTGAATATAGAGGGTTGAAAGGTGAAACGGTTAAAACCATATATATATATATATATATATATATATATTAAAAATTAACTATGCATCTACATATATAACACTAACAATTTATTATTAATTTTTTCTTTTGAATATTTTAAAATTAGTTTTTTCAAATAAAATAATTAAATTTTAAAAGAACCACCTAATGATTAAAATATAGTTTTTAATACTATATTATTGATTATTTTGTGATTATATATATATATATATATATATATATATATATATATATATATAATGTACTACTTCAAAAAAAAATATATTTTCATCAATATTAAATGAAATAATTTTTTATTTGTTAATTTTTAAATAATTTTTGTATTAATTGTAGTTTTATTTTTTTTATACAGCTTTAGGGAAGAATATTAAGGTTTTTTTTAAATAGATTTAATTTTTCATTTAAATTGTTATAATTTTTTATTTCAAATTAATCCGTATAAAAGAGAAAATCATTTTTTTTCCTATCGAAAATTCATGAAAAAACATAAAGAAAAATAAATTAAATATAAAATTTCAATTAAAAAATTATTGAATATATTTTTAATTTTTAATTTAATATAGTTTAATAAATTAATGTAATATAGCTTGAGATATCAAATTAATAGATGCAGCAACGAAGTAGTAACAGAAAAAAGAACCATTAAATTATATATTATATTATCATATTGTTCGCCTAGGAGAATGGCATAAATGTAGTAATGATATTTAGAAAAATCTAAAACGGTAATGACCAAAGATATGTCATCCGGACTGGTGGCGGGCCCAAAAAAAAAAAAAAAAACCCGAAGTTCCTCTCGCTTGTCTTCCTTGAGTTGCATCTATGATCTAACATCCTCGTTATTTCTCACCCACCGAACAATCATTCATTCACAAAATATCCAATCAAAAGCAGTTTTCTTCTCCAAATCTCTGTCTGAAATTCTGAATTCATCGTCATCAAAATAGTAATAATAATAAAAACGCAGCAAAAATGATGCACATGACCTTCTACTGGGGCACAAAAGTGACCCTCCTCTTCGATTCTTGGAAAACAGATTCTTGGTTCAGTTACCTCCTCACTCTATTTGCTTGTTTCCTCTTCTCAGCTTTCTATCAATACATGGAGGATCGTCGCATCCGATTCAATGCCATCGCTGTCTCCAATCCTGCCCAGCAACAACAACAACCTGTCAACGCTCCTCTTCTCACCCCTAAACGACGTATCAGTTCAGCGAAATTTGCCACCGCTTTGTTGTTTGGGATCAACTCGGCGATCGGGTATCTCTTGATGTTGGCTATCATGTCTTTTAATGGAGGTGTGTTTTTGGCTATTGTCGTGGGTTTGGCTGTTGGCTTTCTCTTGTTTAGAAGTGGCGATGAAGAGGTTGTTGTTGTTGATAATCCGTGTGCTTGTGCTTGATATCTATATCTATCCAGTACAAGTATTTTTATTTTCTTAACACTAAACTTCATAGCTAGTATATTTGTTGTTGTTGTTGTTGTAAGCGTATTTGATGTTTGTGAATTGGGGTGTTTCATTCTCAGATCTGAATTTGTAAAACAAGAATTATGAACTCATTTGTCAATGCATTGTAGTCATTTACTTTGAATATCTGACTATCGTTGTACATTATTCAGACATTGAATGAATTATCAATTGTTGTCCTCTGTTGTACATATACACACAAGTTATAGAATCCATGCCCTTTGTTCTGCTTGGCATGAAATTATGTTTTCTTCAGTAGGGAGATAGGGCTACTTGCAGTGTTGATATACCCTATAAATACTATACAATGCAATACAATACATTATCCTTTTCTATTGCCCTGAATTGTTTATGAGCTATCAGATCAAAGCTAATTTTATTGTCAATGATTCCATTAACAATCGAAAGCAGTTTCTTTTTACCTTTTACCAACAAACAATTTATTTTTCCTTATTAATATCAAAAAGCACAGCCTAAATCAAGATTCTCTGCCTCTGTCTCACCAACTGTCTCCGATTTGCATCAGTCACCCTCAACCCCTTCTTCAATCACTAGCTGAAATAGTGACCACCACCATTAACGAAGTCATTTTGAACTGAATTCAACTTACAAAAACAAGAGGGCAGGGGCTAAATTGCATGATGGGATGTTAGCTAATTTAAATAGTCGTGGTGGAAAGTTATCATCTCTGAATTCTTCACTTCACTTCTCTTTCAGGTATGTGATCTTCTTCTTCTTCTTCTCTCTCTCTCTCTTTTTTTTTTTTTTTTTTTAGGTTTAATTTAGTTGAATATGAAATGGTGAATGTTAATGGCAAATGAGGTTTGCCCAATAGAAAGACTGTTAATTTTCCACTTGGAGGTACCTGCCTATGGTCCAAGCAACTGCAAAGCTTGCTGATCAAAATCTTAGTAACATTATGATGCATTGCTACTGGTAGATGCTGAATGAAATACAAGGAATGAACGTTTAGAATTTTCTCATACTTGTGTTTTGCAGCAGGAAGATCTTGCATTGACTTTGCAGGTTGCTTTGAAGCATCAGTAAACTAGGAAAAGTTCAGAAGGTATCCAGCATAGCCATATTCTTCCTAATGAACAATGGTCCTCTTGGAATTTAAAAGGGTTAGTATGCGTGAAAAGATACGTCCAATGTAGGTTCCTTTTCTCTTCACAAGAATGCACAAGATAGCCATGGAGTTTATTACTGCTACAGGGGGCAGTTTCCACTTTCCTTTTGAAGATGGGATGCAAGTTCATAGGTTTGTGTTATGGCCATTATGGAGATACGGATGCTGCAATTAATTGTTCCATTGTTCCATTTTGTGCTTCTGTGTTTAGATTTATTTTATCTACTGAGTATCTATTTTATTGATCTCTTATATTGCAGCTACTCATTTCTTGGTGTCCATTAACGGTGGCCTGATTGGATGCTTCTCAACTGCTCATTTCTCAGTCTCAGTTATTGGTTCTGTACAAGAAGGAGGCTTCTCTTTCCACCCAATGTGTAATAAGACTAGCTTAACTCATTTAGCTTTGCTGCAGTTCTATTCGCTTGGCCAAACCAAGTGTTTGAACTATATTGACCTGGTGCATTTCAATTACTTGATCAGGATCGAACTGTAACACTGCCAAAAATGATTTGAGTATTGTGTTGGTATACATGATACGAGATTGACCTAGCATATTATTGATTGAATCAGGTTTTAAAAAGGATTCTTGCCGTTGAACGTCATGGCTAGGTTTTAAATTAGAAATTTAAGCTAGAATTCAGAGCTGGAGGTTGCCCTGTGCCGTTTAGCATTCAAAACTACTTGCCCCATGGTTTTATATTTTCAAGGAAAATAACAAAAGAATTTCAGAGATGTTAGCGGCTTTCTATGGAAACGAATTTACTCTACGACATGGTGTAGCATAGATTTCAGTCTTATGCATTTAAAGTGGTCAACTACTTGAAGACTAATCATTTAATTTCACTTTTGATGTCAAAATCTGCATTACAGCAACTCAACTCCCTTGATCTCTTATGTCAAGTTCCCCTCATAAGTAGAATGATTGGACCAACAGTATCAGATCTTGCTAACATTTGCAGATCAGCTGGAATGCTCTCTGTCTACATGTGGTTCCAATGATAGATGTATAGAAATGGTACTTTTGACACTTCCAATTTTTTTTCATGATGTGACTGAAGTTTGAGAAGGTCGTTGCTAGAATGGTGAATGGTGCCTTGGAGAGAAAGATAAGTTCAGTTCTTGTGAAGTGCGGTTAAGGCAATGAAACATGAAGAACACTAGGAAGTACTAGCTAGCCGAAATAGCGTTGTGGGTAGGAATGTAAAACCGCTCACGTAACTTGACCTTTTAAACTGTGCAGATCTATTCCTCTAGGCGAGATGGACTACTGTGATCTGGTGCTTGCTGGAGCTGGTCTGGTGGTGCGTCTGGGAGTACTCAAGGGAATGGCAATGGAGCTACAACACAAGCCATTGACGTATGGTTGTGGTGCAACTTTAGAGAAAGTAGAAAACGCTAGTTTAAGTCGTGCTAGCATATATAGATGTATTGGAGACCAGTACTAATATTAGTGTCCTAGCTATGTGATCGAACAGGTAAATCAGGTTCGATGGCTTGCTTTCTGTAAACAATTTTCAGTTCGTTGAGAATTACTTAATAGTTGAATGCGTGTTTCTTACTTCAATAATGAATTACAATTAGCACTATCTATGTTACTAATCTTGATATATTTATTTCCTTTTCGATTTGGTCTTGTAATCGCATTTCAGATATTAGTATTGATCTTAATATTACTTCCAATTTTCTGTTCTAATGAAATACGATTCAGCTATTTATTGATAAAATCATACTACAAGATAATGAAAGAATTGGCCAAAATTTGTATCAAAAGGGCTTTTCAAATCATGCTGTGCATGCAAAATAAGACCAGAGGTTCTGAAAAGAAACATAATTTAGCGTGCTTAATGCATGACTCAGATAATTTGCTCTAATTCATGATAGAACGAATTTACTATTTTTAATATATATATATATTATATATATAAACTTCAGTTCAACAATTTCTTAATTTCTTCATTATTCAAAACCAATTTCTTGATTTAAATAATTGTGGAGTTGCGAAAAAAGAAGAAGAGTGAATCAATCAATTTGTCGGGATTTCTTCAATCGGTCCCTTAAAATCACGCTCATAAATCCTTATACCCTAGTATACGTTCTCTAATGATTTCTTTTATTACTTTTATTATATATATTTTTTAAATGTCTGTCAATATAAAAAGAACAACTTGTTTTATTGAAAAAAAATTCAAAATGTTTGATAAACAATGGTTAAATGTTTGCCACCTTCCGTAAACTTTAAATCACTCAAAAATTAGTTTTTCAATTTTCAATTATTATTATTATCATTATTATTATTATTATTGTAAGATTTATTCATAAGTTAACTGATTTTTCAAATGAAAAAACATGTACTACTACAAAAGTAGTACTTTTACCGAATAAAATATAAGAAAATACTTATAATAAATGAAAAATGTGTTATGAAACTATTGTTGCTGATTGAATTTGGTCTTAAATATTGAGTAAATCGACACTTTAATTTTTAACTAAGTACTTCACGAGGAAATAATAGAGGGTTCAATGTCGCCTAGTAAACCATTAGGACTTTTATATGGTATCTCGATTTGAATGATAAAATTAACAATAAAAAGAGAATGTAATAAACCGAGATGTAAATATTATAAATCGAAAGATACAACACTTACATCAATAGTTTTGGATGCTGCCATTTGATAATACTTGAAGTAAAAATCCTAAGTTATTGAAAAGCGGAATATACGCTATCGATCTATTTTACGGGAAGGTAAGGTTATTCTAAAGGATAAAAGTAAATTTCGGAGAAGTCTTCTTGCTCTTGTCCATCCCTTTCGTTTGTCTTCTCCCTTCTTTTAAACATTGTCAATTGATAATTGCTTGGAAACTCAATTTTGAGCACGAACAATTATCAAGTTTTATCCTTTTTTCTTGTTCATCGATATCCGTTGGTTTGTGAAACCAAACGGAATCTCTATTTCATCGATATCGACTAGTTTGTGAAACGAAACACATCGTTTCATTGTAAACTTCTATCTCGTCCACATTGGTTGGTTTTTGAACCCAAACACATCGTTTTATTTATGGTCCTCAAATATGTGTCCATCGATATCGGTTGGTTTGTGAATTCAAACACATCGTTTCATTAAGACTTTGAGAATGCATCATTCTGGATAAGGTACAATAATTTGTAATGTCGAATCCAATTGACATGTGGCTTAAATTTATGTATGCCAACACATGCCCTCTTTTTAGTCCATTAGAGATGGAAACAAGGAGTTTCTTCTCCGATGGACGGATCATTAAATGCTCATAAGACATGATGAGACTACGCGACTCTTCATTTTTCTAAAGGTGACTACTTTATGCAATAATTTGACGTTTCATTTTGCCAAATCTGAATCGTTGAGTTTTAAAAGTGAAATCATCGCGACTTTTGAATTTATATGATATAAAACAAAGCCGACTCTATAATTTTGCACTCTTTACAATTTTTTTTACTTTCTACAAAAAGTTTTCCATAAACGTTTCCTACATTTCTTCAAACACTTTCTTTGCTTTGGAATTTCTTTCTATTCCATTAGAATGGCTCCTAAAAGAAACCCAAAATCTTCCAAGAAATCTATGCAAACCAAAATATCTCCGTTAATCGACTTTCATAGATTATGAGAGCCCTTTGTTCGACCACTATGCGATTGATACTCGTCTTATTCGGACTATTACGGACAACCAAATTGTCAATGTCCTAATAGGTTTTAAGAAAAATCATGAAAGGAGTCCTTATCTAGGATAACTTTGAAGTCATCACCATCTTCGAAATCGTATCATAGCTGGATTCGACTACTTCCTTTTCTTTTCCGGAAGTCGAGTTTCGCTCGATGCAACCATTGATTCGGGTTGGCCTCTCTACGGGATTTTAATTTTCGTCCTATTGCTCTCATCTTGAGAGATTTGGACTTTCTTTACTTATGTCAGCCATCTCTTTTTTTAGGTCTTGGACATAGTAAGGGACTCGTCTTTTCCTTATTTATCAAGAGCGTTATTTGATCTTGGACGTCTTGAAGGATTGTCATATTTTGGTTGTCTAGGGGAAGAGATTTTAATTCTCTTCCATGTTCCCACTTCAGAGTTATTTTGGCTTGAAAAATCTCGGAGATCCGTTCCACCATTCAAATGGTTCGGGGTCATTTGACCATCTTCGATCGAGGGACCTATTCCATCGTTCGGATGATCTTGGGTTATTTGACCATTTTTGGTCGATAGGCTTCGATATGGGTGACTTTTGACCCCAGCATGGTTTTGACCGGAAAAATGATATTTATTACCACATGAGTTATAAGTCGTTCTAGCTTCGCCCCCGATCTTTTCTACTCAAGCTAGGGTTTCTTTGATGGAGACTATAGGATCCCATATGATATGGTAAGTGGCGATCATTTTCCTCAACCTTTTCGCACATTTGTCATAAAACCCCTTATTGATATGATCCTCTTCATCTTCTAACTTCGTCCTCAACACATGGCCTTTTTAGGCCATCTTAATATGAGTGGATGACTCTAATTTGTGTTTTTCATAAACCATCTTTTGGTGATTCGACTAGTCTTTGCCTCATCTATAGGCCAAAGTACCCTTTCCGAAGCCAAACCTTTGCTTGTCTAACTGTTTTTTGACTTTATCGACATATAATTCTAGGTCCGGATAAGCCAAAACTAGAGCCACTTTCTCTGTATTTGTCGAGTCATATCGGTCATAATCTCTATGATCGTTCGGGAAATCCATGAAATTGTCACATTTGTCTATGTTGTGGAGAGTGGTAATGTGCCATTTGCAATAGTGGTCGAGATCCGAATCTTCAAAGTGAGAAAATCTCGGTGCTCCTTTTTCAACCAGCTAGTTGAAAACGGGGTTAGCCACCTTGGTGGCTTCTATTACGACGAGCAACTCCTACAATTCGGACATATCAAAAACATCCAAAGTGACGACATCAACAATTTCGGAAAATAGATTACTATCTACTTCCATAACTTCTTCTTTTTCAAAAAAAGTTAATTCTTTTGACTCTATTAAGTCTTGAATTAAATGCCTAAATAAGATTTAATTGTTTGTAGAATGAGATGTAGTACTATGCCATTTATAGAATTTCTCTTTTTTCATGTCTTCATGGGTAGGCAATTTATGTTTCCCTTTGATCTTAATCCTATTGTTGGCTAAAAGCCAATCAAAGATTAAATCTGCCTTGTCTAGATCAAAAGAATACTTGTGATCTTCTTTGGACTTGAAGCCTATAAGGGCCTATATATTCTTTCTAGCCAATTGTTTGCATACTATTGGCTTTCCTTTAATATACTCTACAAAATCGACATCGACTATGACAGGATCTTGATAGTACGTTTCGACCATAGTACTTCTTCGTAATGATTCTTCTTACGGAATCGCTTCGAATCCGGAGGCTCTCTCTATCAACTCATTTAAGTCCGAGAAGACCATACCCTCAAACTTTTTCCCGAGTTCAAAATCTAAACCATCTTATGCGAAATATAAAATTCACTTTTGGGCAAATTGACTTGGCATCGAACTCTAGCTCTCTCTTGAATCTTGTTAGAAACTACTCTATCGATTCACCCCGAAACTATTTCAATCTAGCTAATTCTACCATTGAAATTTCGGGATCGATCCTTAAAAGATGTGCTTGGAAAGCATTATGTATATCCTATCATGTAAAAATGGAATTAAGTAACAAATTAATGTACCAAGTGAAAATGGCGAGTAGTTAAGCAACTAAGGAAAAGACGGAGCTTCGGAAAATTGTCTCTTGACAATTCTCCACATTCGAAAGTGAATCCGGCAACATGTTCCAAAGCGAAAACGTTATCTTCATCGGAGAACAATATAAATTCGGGGGCCCCGAATCCTTTTGGGAAAGGATATTCTTAACCGACATAGGATATGGTTTTCTATAAACGGATCAATTTACCCTTTGTATACATGGTCTAAACATTCTCTCGATCATGTTAGCTAATGCTTCTTGATTCATATCCCCATAAACATTATGGGACCAAGCTATGGCATCTTATTGTTTTCTATCGCTATGGTCGTGTTTGGCACGTTCGTGGTGGAAAATTGGTAAAGGGTCTTGGAGGGATGTTTGGAATGGGACCATATATTATGCGAAGTAGAGTGATTATTAGCTTGGTTCTAGTTAGCGAGGGTACTTGAGGTGGATAGCCATTAGGTTGGCTAACGAGGTGGTACATAAGGCATATAGCCATTAGTTTTGGCTAATAGGATTGCTAGGAGGTGTTTGAGGATGATAGCCGTTAGCTTAGCTAATAGGTGGTACATAAAGTAGATAGCCGGTATTTTGGCTAACGGGATTGCCGGGAGATACTTAAAGATGATACATAGACAAGTTGGGTAGGATAGCCGGAGGTTTAGCCATGATGGGTCCGTATGTATAGACTCGCGATGGGTCCCG